ATGTACAAGACAGATATTTTTCGGCGTAAATTAAAAATTTCTTCTTTTTTCTCGAACATTCCCCGCGCCTCGTTATTTTGTATGACAAGTGCCCGGATTAAGTATTGTGGTATAAGGATATTATTTGAGTTTATGCCTCGCATTTAGTAGCTATTTTGTAAAATGTTATGACGTGTTTATTGCTTTTTCATTTCTGCCTTTTATTTTTGATTAATGAAGTAAACATGTTTTAGATTTTTTATGGGATAGGTCGGTAAACGAGCAAATGGATTAGCTGATGGTAAGCAATGGGCGCCGCCCATGGACACCCGCATCGCGAAATGAGTTACGAGTGTGTTGCCAGCCTTGAATGGGGAAAGGGGGAGACATGGCCTCTGGTAACCTCACTCACACGAAGAAACACAACGCTGTGGTTGTTTCACGCTGGTTTTCTGTAAAGTAGTGGTATCGCGCCGCCCGAGCCGACCAATTCGCGCCGAACCTTGGTTCTCCAACACTTTGACCGTGTTAGAAAGATTTGATGATAGGCCTGTTCGTATGCCGATCTAGGTACTTACCTATATATCCTTTAAAAGAAACACTTACATTTAGAATATTAGGAATCAAAGTTATTTCAATAGGTAAATACCTACATACATAGATTATGTGTAAGTTTGTGAAAATCTAACCTTGGCCATTATTCGGCCCGACGATGCAAAGTAACAAGTTTTTAAATAATTTCAGATTCTCATCTGGCGACATTTTGAAAACATATCGAAGGGTACGATATGGAAACGTTAAGTTTCCGAGAGACTTTTTAAATTGACTTGACTTAATATCCTGTGACCCCTAGATGGGGCAGAGAGCGTCCACTGAAGTTCTCCATCGCGATCTGTCTTGAGCTTCATGCTTCACCTCACTCCACGTCATATTGATGCTCGTCGCTTCTGCCAGTACGGTGAGACGCCAGGTTTGCCATGGACGGCCACGCTTTTTTTTCCCTTGGGGATTCCAATCCAAGGCTTGCTTGGGTATGTGGCCAGGACCCCTTCGGAGCGTCAGATCAAGCGCCGCAAGTGGGGATGGATAGGGCATCCATCCCCACTTGCGGCGCTTGATCTGTCGGTCGATTGGGCTTTCGTGGCATTTCTCCAAAAGCTTTATGTTGAAGATTGTCTCGGGCTAGTAAATTCCGAGAATGCGACGCAGGCATCGGTTACCGAAGACTTGAAGTTGACGTGAGATGTCTTTGGTTACCTTCCACATTTCGCACCCATAGAGCAGTACGGATTTTACATTGGACCCGAAGACTTTCAGCTTAATCCTTCGGGTCAGTTTCCGTGACTGCCACACAGGTCTTAGCTGCGCGAAAGTAAGTAGCTCGGGCTTTTGCGATCCTTGAAGTGATGTCTTCTTCAGTACCTCCAGTCTCTGACACGACGCTCCCGAGGTAGGTAAATTTGTGGACGCGTTCCACTGCCTCTGTGCCAATCAGCAACGGTGTAGGATTCTTCATACCCGCTCTAATTTCTTTGGTATTTCGCGTGTTAATTCTTAGGCCAGCTTTTGCCGCCTCCTGCCGCAGGTCGTCCAGTTTTGCTTGCATGTCGGCGTGGGTATGACTCAGCAAGCATAGGTCATCGGCGTAATCCAAATCTCCCAAGCAGTTGGATAATCCCCATTCTATCTCGCGGCGCCGATTGTGAGTCGTGCGAAGCATGATCCCATCCAGAACGACCAAGAAGAGAAGCGGCGATAAGAGGCAGCCTTGTCGGACACCCGCGTGGACCACTATGTCATCGGAGATAAGGCCATCAGGTGACACTTTACAGGAATAATTCCTATACATGCTCTCTAACAGCCGGACAATCTTTGGCGGAACCCCCAAGTCCAGCAGACGGGACCAGATGCTAGACCACTTCAACGTATCAAAGGCCTTTTCGAAGTCGACAAAGGTAAGATAAATCTCCCTTTGCCATTCTGTTGCCTGCTCTAGAATGATACGAAGAGTGTTGATCTGGTCCGTACATGAACGGTTCGATCGAAAACCTGCCTGCTCCCTGCGTAGAAGAGGATCCACTTTTTAAATTGGATTGTGATAAATATGTACCAGTAAAATATGTAATTTTATTCCTTATGCTAACTAATGTTTTCTTCTAAGATTTAAGGAATATTTTACAATTCAGGATTATATCCAAACTAATATTATAAATGCGAAAGTAACTCTGTCTGTTGTCTGTCTTTTATTCACGCCTAAAACAACTGAACCGATTTCTGTTAAATTTGGTACAGACATAGTTTGAAACTCGAGAAAAGACATGGCACACTTAATAATCAATGGAATATCCATCATGTGTGTCTCTCAGAATGGATATAGAAAGAGGTCACGTGGAACTAAGGAGCTACTCCTCATTGATATGGTCATTAGCCAGCAGGTTCGTCGATCTCGAAAGGATTTGTCTACATGCTGGATAGATTATAAAAAGGCTTATGACTCCGTGCCACATACATGGCTCATGAGGGTGCTGGAGTTGTATAAAATTAATACAACTCTGCGCACCTTCTTACAGCCATGTATGAGGCAGTGGAGCACGGTGCTTTCCTACCCAGGATGTAAGCAAATCCAAAGGAGTGAAGAACCTGTAAGGATAGTGCGAGGAATATTCCAGGGTGATAGTCTGAGCCCACTGTGGTTCTGCTCGGCCTTGAATCCTCTCAGTACTTTACTTGAGGTTTCAGGGCTGGGCTATCGTTTGCAGAGAAAAAGTCACGTTATTTCCCTCTTACTTTACATGGATGACCTCAAGTTGCTTGCACCAAACAAGGAGGAGCTGATGGAACCTGGAACTACTAAAAATAACTAAAAATTTTAGTAGTTCCATCAGAATGGAGTTTGGTGTTGATAAGTGTGCGGTCATGCATGTAAAGCGAGGCGGCATAGTGGAATCTAAAAGCCTAGAGCTGTCAGATTTCACAAAACTGAGATCACTCTCCGCAAATGATACCTACAAGTATTTGGGTATGTCGGAAGGATTGGGTATTAATGGGCCGCACATGAAACAATCACAGGAGCGCTTCTTTGGCCGCCTGAATAAGGTACTGAAAAGTTCGTTATCAGGCGGCAACAAGGTGCGAGCCTATAACGGTTGGGTCATGCCGGTCCTGATGTATTCTTTTGGCATACTCAAATGGACTCAGACTGAACTTGACACCCTGGATAGGCGAGGCCGGACGCTGCTGACTGCAAATTGAATGCATCACCCTCGTTCATCAGTCATGAGGTTGTACATCCCGCGGAAGTGTGGGGGTCGAGGCTTTCTAAACGCTAAGACCCTTCACAACCGTGAGGTGTGCAATCTCGGAGAACATTTCCTGAAAGTGGACGAAGATATGCATCGAGAAGTAGTCACAGTGGACAAGGGATTCACACCACTATCCTTGGCTAAAGAGAACTGGTGCAAACCCGTAGTACTGAGCGTCAATGACCGCAAGGCGGTATGGAGTAGCAAGGAGCTTCACGGACGCTTCTTCCGGGGTCTCCACGGGCCCAATGTAATCTACATTCTTCATTTCTATCGTTCGTATCTTGGCTACGATTCAGTAACCTCTTCGGAGAAACTGAAGGATTTGTATGTGCAATTATGGATGAAGTTATCCTCACGAATAAACCAATAAACGAATAAACCGGAAATATATTATGAAGGATGGGACGGTTGACATTTGTTGGGCATTTCATAGCCCCGGTGAATACATCAGACATATTATTTCCGGCTGTGGTCGTTTGGCTAATGGCGAATACTTGCACAGACATAATCAGGTGGCCAAGATTATTCATCAGCAACTTGCTTTGAAATACCGGCTTGTTGAGTCTAAGGTTCCGTACTACAAGTTTGTGCCCGACCCAGTTCTCGAAAAAGACCATATCACATTGTACTGGGATCGGTCTATCATCACAGACAGGACTATTGTAGCCAATAAGCCTGACATAGTGGTGGTAGACCGACTAGCGCGTCGCACGACGATAATCGATGTTGCCATTCCTCATGACGAGAACCTTGTGAAAGCTGAGAAAGATAAACAATTGAAATATCTTGACTTAGCTCACGAGGTTGTTGACATGTGGAGTGTGGACTCGGCTATCGTTGTGCCGATAGTTGTGTCGGCAAATGGGTTAGTCCCCAAAAGCCTCGACAACCACCTTAAGAGGCTGACGTTAGGCGGATGGATCAAGGGCCTCATACAGAAGGCAGTCCTCCTTGAAACGGCACTTATTGTGAGGAGGTGCCTGTCTCTGGAGCCCTAACCGCCGGTAGCTTAGACCTTGCTCCCGCTGCCGGCTGGCTCCTACTTTTATATTTTTAAATTTTTTTTTTTTATTTTATAGTAATATTTAAAAATGTAATTTTTAGAGTGATTTTAATAAATATATGTAAATGTCAATGGAATATTAGGTTTGATTTCGAAAACACGAAAATCTTGTAATTGGTTCCTGAATCCGTGGTTGTGAGTGCAAGCGCAAGAATGTGTACCGAAGCCGTGTGAAGAAACACACAGGTTTTTGGTCAGTAGGAATCTGAAACTCTCTCTCCCCTGCCTAGGGTTATAGAAGTCGTTTAGTGGTTTTCTGTAATAAAAATATTAGCACCTTCTTGGTCCCACTTTGGAAAAACCGTACCTTATACATCTTACAGGTCGACGCTACATAAACGTAATCTAAAAAATATCTAGAACAATTACTTTATACATTGCTAGGTCACGCAAAAACAGCATCATAGTCTATTTTATGTGTGTTACCAACCTTAATGTTTACGATAAAGTATAATGATAGTAATGTTGCCAACAAACGAAATTCATGTTCCCTTTTATAAGAGGGCAGATAAAAAAATAAACTGGGTTCCGTACTAAGCGGCATAATTTAGATCTTTCTTTCACACTGTTTGTGTATTTTGTTTTTTATTGCCTCGATCAGTGTTGTATCTTTAGGTTAGGAATAAGAGTATATACAGTATTTCCTTATACAGATTACTGCCTGTAAATCATAGTGATGATTTTGACTGCACGGTTGGTGCGATGGCTGGGCAACTGGCTGCCGTGCAACGTGTCGCGGGTTCGATTCCCGCACGAAACAACTCTTTGTGTGATCCACAAATTGTTCTTCCGGGTCTGGGTGTCATGTTTATGTGAAATTGTATGTTTGTATGCACGACACAGGAGAAAAACCTGTGCCGGCAACGTATTTTTTAATACAGGAAAAAATATTTGTTGTTTTTTTATTTCATTGAAACTACTGCATTTCTATCATTTCTATCATTGAAACTACTGCCACCAGACTTAACTCCCGTTTCGAGTGGCTTTTATTCACTAAAAACCACCCTGTTCCAAAGAGTCGGGCATTGTACAGGAAAACCTAATTTATTATATTGACGCACTTAGTATTGTATTTTAAGGATTGAAGCAAGGAAATAATTGATGTTTGAATGATTCGTTCATAAACTATGATCGAAATTTGAACAGACAACCAAAACTAAGCGGACAGAAATTTATACTTTTTACTTTGTCGAATACAAACTGGTACCTTGACCTAAGATCGTTTACCTCATTCCTATAACATTATTTTTACAAACTACATATATTCTATAAAATATGTTTGTATGTCTACTATTTAACACTATTTTACCGTGCTTTGGCACAAATGGGCCGGCTAGACTGTGATACTACCACCTCACAGAACACTGGCCTAAAACCACCACAGCATTGCGGTTTTGACCACGTGATTAAGGTTATTGGAGCCGCAATCCTTCCCTTCTCTCAATCCTCCCTAAATCTCCAAAGCCCCTTATCTCCAAAAAGCTACTAGGCAATAAAATAAAAGCATTTGCAACTCCTCTATGTCTGTTTATCATTGTTTACCATCAGGTAGTTTTTCTGCTCGTTTGCCGCCATATCATATAAAAAAAATAGTTTATATAACGTACCCTAACAATAATAATTCTAATAGCTGTTGTAGGAAGTGGACAGGATGTTGATGAAGTTACAATGTACTCTGTGAAACCTTTCGCCGCTCGTTTTCAGGTTGAACCCCTTTAAGGGTCAAGGTCAGGGAGCAGAAAATTTTGTGCCCAAGGTCATTCTGGTGTAAGTAACCGAACAAGTTATTTTGTGTAGAGGAAAAGGGCGTGTTGTTATGTGTTATGTTGCTTTTTGTTAAAGATAAATGGAAATATAAGTTTATTTATATATTATGTGGCTGTTAGGTACATGGCTTGAGATTTTTTCGTGCCTAAAGAGAATTACCCAAATCTAAAATTAAATTATATTATATTCGAATTGGATTTGAATGGACAGACTTTTCCGTAATTACAAAGTTCATATTATAAGTATTATTTATTGTAGTCGTTAACTTATTTTATGAGTATCTATTTATTTATGTGTAAACAATCGTGTTTGTTTCTTCCATTTTCTTTCTCCTTTTATTTTGTTCTAGGACTCTGTCCTTGTCCTTGCTTCGCACCAACCGCAAGAATTCTCTGCACTGCCCTATGGTTGACTGTTAGAGAATGCCTTAAGGCATTAAGTCCACCATTCAGACTATTTTGTGTGAAGAAGAAATAAATAAATGAAATATCTTATACTGGTTGATTCGTCACAAGAACAGCTGCCGAGTAATAAGAGTATTTGTCTTGGGTCGCTCAAAATATTGGTGATTTTCAATCTTCATGATTTTGATGATGACGATAATTCTATCAATCATACCAATGATTGATAGAATTATCGCTGGTGTATGGCAACAGTATTTGAGATGGATATCAGATATCACTAAACTATTTCTTGCGCCCGTGGGGCGAGATGAAATGTCAGACTCTTACTGACTCGAGGAGGCGAGATGGCTCCAGGACGCCATGTCAAGGATGTGCGACGTGGCGATGCCCCGGATCCGACCGTGCCAACGCAAGCGCCAGGTGTATTGGTGGTCGCAGGAATTGGCAGACCTGCGCGGTGAGTGCACCGCAGCGCGACGCCGATACACCAGGCACCGCAGGCTCCGTCTCCGCCCTCTGGACGCTGAAACCAGAGAGGCGGAGCTATACGAGGAGTACAGGGCGGCGAAGGCCACCCTCAGGGTGGAGATCCGGCGGGCCAAAGATCGGGCCCGCGAGGAGATGTTGGAGACTCTGAACAGAGACCCGTGGGGACGCCCCTACCGGATGGTGCGTGATAAGCTCCGCACCTGGGCGCCCCCACTGACTCAGAGTCTCCGGCCGGAGGTCGTGGACGAAGTGGTTGGGGCGCTATTCCCCCGACCACAGATGGGTTACACGCCTCCGGCTATGCCCCCGCCCCCTGCGGTGCCCAATGCGGGCTACATCGACGACGACGACGAATCCGCTCCGGAAGTGACCGAGGTAGATTTGAGAGTGGCGGTGCGCCGGCTGAGCGGCAAGAATACCGCCCCAGGACCTGACGGGCTGCATGCCAAGGTCTGGGTCCTGGCCTCGGAGGCTCTCAGGCCTCGACTACTTGGTCTGTTCAGCGCATGTTTGGAGAGAGGCCAGTTTCCGCTGTCGTGGAAGACGGGTAAACTGGTCCTCGTGAAGAAGCCGGGGCGTCCTGCGGACTCCCCGTCCGCGTACCGGCCCATTGTGCTGCTCGACGAGGTGGGAAAGCTGTTCGAGAGGATAATCTCAGACCGCCTCGTCGGGCACCTGTCTGGAAGGGGGCCGGATTTAGCGGACGGCCAGTTCGGCTTCCGCAGAGGGCGCTCCACGGTGGACGCCATCATGCGCGTGAGGGACCTCACGACGGGGACAGCGTTGGCCGGGAGGCGAGTCGTCGTGGCGGTGTCTCTGGACATCGCCAACGCCTTTAACTCGTTGCCCTGGAGCTGCATTTTGGAGGCACTCCGGTATCACCGGGTGCCTGCCTATCTCCGTCGTGTAGTCGAGGCTTACTTGACGGACAGATGCGTCATCTACCCCGGTCACCGGGGCGTGTGGAATCGGCGAGAGGTGTCGCGCGGTGTCCCACAGGGATCGGTCCTGGGACCTCTCCTGTGGAACATCGGGTACGATTGGGTGCTACGCACCGACCTCCCGAGCGGCGTCAGCATTGTCTGTTATGCTGACGACACGCTGGTGCTGGCGAACGGGAGGTCGCATCAGGCGGCGGCCGACCTGATGTCACAAGCGGTTGCGACAGTCGTTGCAAGGATCCGGCAGTTGGGACTCGAGGTGGCGCTCCACAAGTCCGAGGCCATGTGCTTCTATGGCCGTCGGAGCGCGCCACCTCCAGGTGGGTCCCAAATAACGGCAGGAGGAGTTACCATCGGCGTCGAGTCGGCGATGAAGTACCTGGGTCTCGTCCTCGACAGCCGATGGAACTTCACGGAGCATTTTCGTCGTTTGGCCCCTAAGCTAGAACGGTCTGGGGCCGCGCTCAAGCGGCTCCTTCCCAACCTCGGGGGGCCAAACGCCTCCTGCCGGAGGTTGTATATGGGGATTGTGCGATCCATGGCCCTCTACGGTGCCCCTGTGTGGGCGCCGGCCTTGAAGCGGCGGCCGGCTCGTACGCTGGTCGCGTCCCAGAGGGTCATGGCTATTCGGGTAGAGGCGGCGAACCTCCTTGCCGGATCACCGCCGTGGGATCTAGAAGCGAAGGCGCTCGCGCGCGTCTACAGTTTGCGCGCAGACGCGCGTCGCCGGGGCGAAGATCCTCTGCCGCGCCAAATTAGTGCGTGGCGGAATGAGCTCCGGCGAGATCTCATGGCAGAGTGGAAACAACGACTGTCGCAACCGAGGGCCGGGCACGCTACCATAGCAGCGGTAAGACCCCTCTTTGAGGAGTGGCTTGAGAGACGCCACGGCGTCCTCACCTTCCGCCTGACGCAGGTGCTTACCGGGCACGGCAGCTTCGGTAGGTTCCTGTTTCGGATTCAGCGGGAGGAAACGCCCGAGTGTCGTCATTGTGAGGACCACCTAGAGGATACGGTGGAGCATACGGTAGCGGTATGCCCTGCCTGGGCTGAGCACCGCCGTATCCTCAGGGAAGTGATCGGCGGCGGCGACCTCTCGCGCCCGGCCTTAGTCGAGGCCATGGTGCGGAGTGAGAGGAACTGGGACGCCGTCTCCTCCTTTTGTGAAGCAGTCATGCTCGCAAAGAGAGAGGCGGCCCGCGTGAGGGAGCAATCCTCCTCCTCACGCCCCAGCAGCCGCAACTGGCGACACTACGGGCGTCGGGGATCGAGGGACGATCTCCGGCCACCGTAAGTACGGGCCTGCGGTCGGCGAGTAAGGGCAGCTCGCCGCCCGACCAGAACCAGGCCCGAGCGTACGGCGCGTAGCGTTCCGCGCGCGCCTCAAAGAGCCAATAGACCACCACAGACGGGGCCCTAAAGGGCTGATGTTCAGCCGGGGTTGCGGGGTAAGCGCAATAAGGTACCGCGACCTCGGCACAGAGCAGGAGAAGGAACAGGGGGGTTTTTAGTCAGTAAGAGTCTGACACTCCCTCCTGCCCGGCCCTGGGCGGGAGAAGTCATTTGATGATTTTCCCCTCACAAAAAAAAAAAAAAAAAAAAAAAAGACTCTTACTGACTAAAAACCAACCCGTCGCTTTAGGTCGAGGCTGCAGTACCTTACTGCGCTTGTCCAACCTCGTCTACCCCGTGCATTTCCGTTGTCAGACCGTTTTCTTCTCGTTTCTCTAAATAAAAACAATTTGAACCTTCAATTACACTTGATCCGTTTAGTAGAAAGTTTAATAAGGTGCAAAATATTCAAGTAAACCTCGAGTAATTGGACATTAAGGTGAGTGAAAATTCTGCGAAAGTATACTTAACAACCTGTATCTTCCCTATCTTTTCAAGTTATTTTTTTTATTATTGTAAGTTCTCAAAGGAATAATTTAGACTCCACTGACATAAGGTGAAGGAAAATATCTTCAGGAAACCTAGGCTTATAATATCAAATTTGAATTAGCCAAACCACTTTAAGAAAGCTTGATGTTTAGTGCTTTAATCTTCTCCGTGTGAGAAAAGGCTCAGGAGTGGACACTTATGGGCTGATGATGTGTGATGTGATTCGCTCAAAGGAAAGGTTTTGGTCATCAAGGTATAACAGCGCGCGATGGACTACGAACATCCACTCCATTAGGTTTCTCATAATTTTCGCACGCGGATTGAAGATCACATCTTAAATGTTCTAGTTTATCAGTGCCGGTCAAATGTTTAGTTTTTCAGTCAGACTCTTCTACGACGTTGGAGGGTAGAAAATGGGTACCTAGTAAGCACTACTGTCAACGTGGAGTTCGTATTTTAAAAGGGCTTGTCGATCTTTTTGAAATGGCAGTAGTTCCTTAGTTCACTTTTTAGGACACCCGTGCGCAGTCACGAGCTCCTGATATACTCGCTTTATATGCATTCATTTGTTATTTTTGTCAAAAGAGATGACACAAAATTAATCAAAATGAAATGCATGGCAATTTATTATTATATGAAAATCCGTTTGGTAGACGTTCTTTGAGGTCCCAGGTAAATGCTTATATCAGAAATGAGAAAACATATGGAGAAAAAGTGTGAAAGGGACAGTGGGATAAATCAATGTTTTGTTTTTAAAAAGTCAGTAAAAATATAAGATAAGTAATAGAGAAGTTTATAAAAAGAGATAAGGGTTTGGGTACGGGAAGCCATCATCTTATGGTAAGTGATCAATATTCGCCACGGATTTATTGCAAAAGTTTATATGTAGGAGAGCCATGCTTCGGCACGAAAAGGCACAGTAAACCGGCGTGACAACAAACAGAGTTGGAGAAGGATAGCTGCAGGTCCAATCCAATTCCCCTGAATCCCCAAAAGCCTAATCCGACAACGCAATTTTTTGATGTACTCGGTGTCCATGGGCGGCGCTGATTGATTATCACAAGATTAAAAAAACTTACTATCATACCAAAAATGGTCTGAAGACCTGGCAGGCTTTGGCTGCCACTTTGGTGGCCATATTTACTTGGCAAAACGTAAAGCAAACATTGTGTTACGCCAATTTCCCATAAAACTGTGGTATCATTTCGATCGAGTGGGCCTATTCCAACTGAACCACATCGTTCAAATTAATTTAATTAAGCATAATTCTTTCCTAAAATCAAAGTTTTTACTTTTACTAAGCATCTATATAAAGACACTTATAGAACTTTGTCCATATATCTGTTTAGTTAGAAAAACAGAAGAAAAAAAAACTGGTATACGCCATCCGGTTACCGACAGTATTTAATTCCATGTGTTTCCCAATAAATCATTTGCATAATGTTACGATTGCAAATTTCTGGATCTGCCAACGGAATAATATCAACGTTTTCATTTCAATATTCAGGATTCAGTTCGCTTATCGTATTTAAGGACAATGATTTCAGTGAGTCGCATGAATCTTATTAAAATTTATGTATAGTATTAGGAGACTGTGTTCGGTGGTAAATTAATTTAGGTAATGGAGTGTTTAGGTTATTTTTTTTCGTAAAAGTGGATTGTTTGTTGTTAGTGTTAGGTATTTTTTTTCGTGTGTTATGTGTTATTAACATTAAATTGCGTGGTCTGAAATTATTTGCCTTTTTATCTAGCTAGCGACACTTCTTCTAGTTATAAGGTGAATGTGAAGACATGCTACTTTTTATGTTATGTGTGAGTCTGGATTGATGCATGATCGGACTTCGGTGCTTTTATAAACATACGAAGTTACATACTGGCTGCCGTGCAACGTGTTGCGGGTTCGATTCCCGCACGGGACAACACTTTGTGTGATCCACAAATTGTTGTTTCGGGTTTGGGTGTCATGTGTATGTGACATTGTATGTTTGTAAACGCACCCACAACACAGAAGAAAATCCTAAAGACGGGCAACGTTTTTTCTAAAAAAAAATGTGGGTATCGATCGAATCCTCTTCAAATTGCATGATAGACAGATGATAGCCTGTGCCAAGTTTTTTATAGTTAAAATTTTAAATTTCAGAATGAAGTTGTCGCGAACGCTGGCTTTTATTTTAACTTAGTGTTACAGAGTAGAAATAATCACATCGTCTTCGCATTGACTGTCAAGACAGCCTAAGTAAAACCACTTATCCCTCACGACAGAGAAAAAATAAAATCAGAAATTACAATAAACGTTCGCATCCATATTTACATTGAGAACCCTTCAAAAGCTTTTCCACGTTAGGCATAATTTTAATAAAACAAAACGGTATGATTTTGTCGCACGCCTTGCCTTCAAAGTTTTGTTTCGACTAAGCAACTATGTTGCGCTACAAATCGCTCAACATGCTCGCCAGCACAGCAAAATTTGGGAGAACGCAACGTTGCCATTTGGCGCGCAATATTACGCGCTCTTTGGTTTTTTGTCGGTGCAACATCATTGTCAGCGTAAAATAAGGACATATAATACAATAGGAATGTTACATTGTGTATGTCGTTGTGGCGCAACAAACGAGTGCCACTGATACCTCACAGAAAACTAGCGTGAAACAAATACAGCTTACAGCACATATTTGCCGTGAGGGTAAAGTTATCGGACGTCCAAAACTTTATCTCTCCCAAATCTCAAAATCTCTAAAACTCCTTATCCCCAGGATGGCAACGTAAGCGTAACTTCTCCGTTGTTGTCCATGAGTGGCGCTGATTGATTGCTTACCACCAGGTTAATACGTCTGCTCGTTTGCCCTCCAATTACATAACAAAAATACTTCACTAGTTTCTGTAGTGCTTACTAGACAGACATCGTTGCTAAACAATAAAGTTCATCACTGAGCAACATGTTTCGCAACACAACTTATGTTGCCCACTGTGTACAAATCTTTATTATGCCAAGGTAAAAGTATCCGAGCATTACACAGGAATGTCATAAAACAAAGAACGCCTTTGCCTAAATTTGAAGACGGTTAGAATGAAAATAAAAATTCTTTGTCTTTGAGTTCTAAGATAAATTCTTCAACTTTATGTTATAGAGATTAAGGTTTAGTTTGCTATAGCTAGGTTTGCAATGTTAGGCTGTTGTTTTAAGATTACGAGTGGTAGAGGGTGCTATATTTTTTAAGATTCTGCGTGCCTGCAGAAATGTGATATAAAGTTTCTTTTTTAATTAAAGCCTTATAAATTGGGTTAAAAATTACTCTCGTATATATGTACACACAATGGAAGCTTAAAAACCTTCTCCCGTTTTCCCAACATTTTCCTTCACTGCTCATCTCCTATTAATTGTAGCGTGATAAAAAGTATACTATAACCTGCATAGCAATATAAAGAATAATTGCACCAAGTTTCGTTGAAGTCTGACGAACAGTTTTTGTTTCTATAAGAAACATACAGACAGACCAACATTTTACTGATTGCATTTTTGGCATCAGTATCGATCACTTATCACCCCCTGATAGTTATTTTGAAAATATATTTCAAGTACAGAATTCACCTCTCTACAGATTTATTATAAGTACAACACCGCCGACGTATCTTGGCGAGTCTGAAGTTAGCCGATTAGCTGCGCAGTACACAATTTTGTTCCTAAAAGATCCATTGCGCAGACAAACTGACAAGCGCAGAAAACTTCAGACTCGCCAAGATACGTCGGCACTGTATAGATTATAGTTTCATTCCATGGAGTTACACTAAAATGAAATGGAAACTGAACAGTTATAAACTACTTAGCAAAAATTCGTTGGACATATGTAGCTTTGGAAGCTATAACAAAAGCATTTTATCAAGCTGTTTACCAAAGAAAATGAAACTAAAACTAAAACCCTGATAACATTTTCAGCAATGAAGCACTAAACACTTGTACAAAGTGCGGTGAGCACGCCATTTTAATTGAACAAATAAAGTCGGCTAGACTGGTTAAAACTCTTTCTAGATCCGGGAGACCGGGACTAAAGAATTCTTTACTTTTAAACTGTTTTCGGGTTGTAACAGTAAAACATGATACCTGTTCTTCCAATGACTTACTAAATAACAGGTATTTAGAGCAGATACAATTTTACTTTGGCATATCTGTCAATTTTGAAAGTAGAAGATGGTATGATAGGTTGTTATTTGCGCTCTGAGTTTATCCGCAGATATTTGTTCTTTTATTTTGTATGATTTTAAACGCATTTCAACGACTTATTCACTATAATAACATTACATAAACAACCAGTCCACCGAATATCATGGTGAAATTGTCACTTAGTTTAAGACGAATACAGCTTTCTTTGTTTTTTATTGGAAAAAGGGGCGAACAAGATGATGGACCAACTGATTATGGTAGGAAATTGGCACCACCCATAGACATCCCAGGAGTTACGAGTGTGTTGAGATTTGGGGATTGAGGGTGGAAAAGAAGGATTATGCCTCCAGTAATCTCAATCATAGGGCGGAACAGAACGCTGTGTTTGTTTCACGCTGTTTTCCTGTGAGGCCTTATTATCATCTCGATCGAACAGGGTCGGTTCCCCGACCGAAGAATGCATCATCTACAACAAAACCTACCTTTTTCCTTTTGGTATAATTAATATAACAACAATAATACCTATTACGTATACCTGTGATGATAAATACGTCTCATGCCTATTTTAAACTAGTTCGGTTCCACAGCAATTAGTGCATAGTAGCCGCCCGCAGCTCCGCTCGGAAAAATGCATTGTTAGTACATGCTTTTAGTGTATTTTCATTCCAAATATAAAATGCTAAGTTTTGATTTGTTGGCTGTTGAAAGCTGAACTGTTATTGGACTATTTTTAGTAGTAATTTGTGATTGATATAATGAAACTGGTATATCAGATGATAACAGCAGGGTCACTGACAGTAGTTGGATAAGAGGAACTGAACATCGAGCTCAGTGGCGTGCAATTGGGGTGGCCTATGTCTAGCATTGGACGGAATCAGGCTGGTAATGATGATGATGATGATGATGACAGTACAACTATCGTCATTCTTTTAAATTCCTGATGCGATGGAAAAATGTAGATACGATAAAACATCACTTTATGTTTTGTATATATATGTGTATTTAGTTATGTTAACATTGCCATATTATAGAAGGTCAGTCTACTGCCAAAACGCTGGGTACAAAGCGAGACTTTATTCTAAAAATGAGAAAAAATACTTTGCCCTACTCCACAAAAACAGACGTATGATCAATATTACCTCATGGAATCTACTAAAAAGGAAAGTAAGGGTTTTTTTTAAACAAGAATGATATAAAGCCTCCTTTGTGTTTGGAAGAAAAAAAAAGTTTGTCGTATACTTTACGTTAGTACGTACACAGAATCCACAGTGTGTTTATTTTACATATTTTTACAAAGATTTATAATAATAGAAAAATGTGTTTGTTAAAGAATATAAGACAAGACTTCTGTGATTTTTATTTCACAACCTCCCGAGCTCCCTGACCCGGACTAACAGAGGGATCTTAGTCCAGATCAGGATCTAATGTAGGTAAAACCATGAAAACACCGAAAAACCAAAAAAGTTTGGGAGAGCCATGCTTCAGCACGAATGGGTCGGCTCGACCGGAGTGATACCACGGCCTCACAGAAAACCGGCGTGAAACAACCACAGCGTTGTGTTTCGCCGTGTGAGTGAGCTTACCGGAGGCCCAATCCTTCCCCTCCCCCAATCCCTCCTCATTCCCTAATTCCTAAAAGGTCGCCAACGCACTTGTAACTCCTCCGTTGCGAGTGTACATTGGTGGCGCTGATTGCTTACCATCAGGTAATCCGTCTGCTCGTTTGCCGACCTATTACATAAAAAAAACTGTAAACGGCATGTTGCAGGGATGTTATTCTGAGTCTTAGGTACTGCAAATAAACATATCAGAAGGTATTATTAGGAAATCTATACTAAAATTATAAAGAGGTAAAATTTGTAAGTTTGTATGTAGGGGGTAATCTTTGGAACTGCTGGTCGGATTAAGTTATTTTAAATAGAATTAAGTTACTTTAAATAGAATTAAGTTATTTTAAATAGAATTAAGCTATTTTAAGATATTGAAACAGAGCTTCCTCTCTCCTGTTTGCCTTATTTTGCTGTGCCCTACAGGGTCCATAATTGATCTCACACAAATTGTTACCACCTTTAAATGTACTTGTGGAAAAGCAATAAAGATATTGAGTATTGAGTATTGGGATTGCCAAAATTCTTTCACTGATAGATAGCTACAATGTTCTTGAGTGCTATAGGCTATAAATCATCACGCTACGATCAAATGGAGCTGAGCAGCGGGTGAAACCGTGCGAGAGTAGCTAGTAAAGGATATTTAATTCAATATTCAATATATCAATATAAATATAAAAAAATATAGGGAAAATATTTTTTTCTTTCATTTCACTCGGTGATTTTTGATGGATTAGTTTCAAGTCGCAGCGGGACTCTTAATGAGCCGATAATTGATTATAATCAATGAGCTGCGCCCAGCGTCCTCTGCGCGACTGCGCGTTAAGGGTTTCTAATAAAAGTTAAGTCAACAAAAAATAATTAGCATAATTGTTTGAACGATTCCCAGTTTTAGATAAAATTATTAAGGATTCATTTTCATATTATAGAAGACAAAACGACTGCTTTACTTCTTTATAAATGTTTGTTTGCAAAATATCCTCTCATCCATTTTACAGCCCACATTTATATTACTAGAACTTTATGACCGAAAAAAATAACAATAATCTAAGTTTTATAAAGAAAGCCAGGCATTTTAGACTGTAATGGTGGCCTATAAATAATTTGAGATAACTCTCTCGCTTTATGAATACCTGGTACTTGTAAAGTTATGGCGGACGAATAAATCACTTTGATGAGGCCACCTGTTGATGCAGGTTGTATAGTTTCAATTTGTTGTATTGCGGTATGAATATTAAATGAGGTTATATTATTTTAGGCCTTCTTTCTAAAGAATGGATGACTGTATTACTAATGGTATGTTGTAAACATGATTAAATTCCAGTCCAGTAAATTAGATAAAATATAAGACACCTTACTCACCAGGCTACGAGCTCCTGCACTTATGCCTAATTGCCTGAGAAATATGCGCCTTATTCTCAAAGACACCTCAAAATTTAATGGAAAACTTTTTTTTGTGGCAGGATGATTTTCCTAACTCATCACTCTTACTGACTAAAAATCCCTCCGTTGTTTTTCCTGCTCTGGGTTAAGATCGCAGTGCCTTAATCCCGGCTGATCATCAGCCCTATAGGGCCCCGTCCGTGGTGGTCTATTAGCTCTTTGAGGCGCGCGCGAAACGCAACGCGCCGTTCACTCGGGTTAGTTCTGGTCGGACGGCGAGCTGGTAGCTTGCGCTACCCATACTCGCCGTCTGACTATATGAAAAAGGAAAATAAATAAAAGCCAGTTTTTCAAGAAGAGAGTGTAGTAAGAGAAGGAGATGAAGGTGTCAGCACAGTTGGAGAAGTAATGTTCAGTGTCGGAGTAGAAGAGTTGAACTGGAACATCACCAGTTCGTATGTCACTATGGTGCCGGCTACCTGTGGAGGAAATTGAGAGGATAATTAATCAAGTATTGTAATTTTATGGTTTATTGAAATAACGATATTAAAATACATGTATCTTTACAAACAGATAATTTAGATTTGATGAGATATGCGCAGAGTTACTAAAATTAAAAGGATTTATGTATTAATTATCTTACTGTCAAAAGTAGTCCTTTGGTTACGGAGAAGAACTGCAGACCACTCAGTGCTACTTTATCACCATTTACCTGATCCAAAAACCTTTGTACCTGTAATAACAAAAATGGTAAATATGGGAGAGCCATGCTTCGGAATGTATGGGCCGGCTCGACCGGAGTGATACAGCGGCCTTACAAAAAACCACTGTGACAGAATTCTGCGTGATATTTCTTTTTGTGATGAGGTTACCAAGGAAAGAGTATTATGCCTCCTCCATCACACAACCCTTAATTCTCAAGGCCTAAAGACCAGAAACCCCCTTGTAACTCTTTTGGAATTGCAGGTATTTGTAGACGGTGGTAATTGCTTAATACCATTAAGTCCATTTGCTCGATTGCCTCTTTGTACTATAAGAAATATCTCCTAATTTAATACGAGTAGTATTGTAATTATGAAACCGTGTCAATGTGGTTATCCCTCAAATCCTTCTCCCCAAAATCTTATTAATCCTTATCCTAAAAAGACCAAAAACATCTCTGGAGTTGCGGATGTTGATGGATGGTGCTCGTTTCTTAGCATCATGTGATCCGAACACTCATTTGCCATCCTACTACTTAAAAGAACAACATTAATGCGAGTCATCAAATTTGTTTAGTTGTCTAATATGTCTTACCTCAACACAATATACCGGAGAAGGTACATCATACAACACGGTAGCTGGTACAGCAGAAGCGCTGTTCACTTGTGACGCTATCAGGGATACAGCCACCGACCGCGAGAGGAGGTACACCAGTGAGAAGAGGAAGTATGTCGCTGCTTCATGACCACCGAGGGGACCGTTCTTGGATACCACGATTCTAGAATATAATTTGTATTGGTCATGATTTTTTTTCTATCTACACTTTGGAACGAGCAAATAGGTTTACAAAGAAGACTGACTTACAGACTGACACTTTTTATCTTTAAGCTTTGTTTGACGTTCAAAGTGCCTGTAAGGGTCTAATTGAAATAAATGATTTTGACGTTGACTTTGACTTTGGTTGTCGTATTTGGTTTCCGATACAGAGTATTTTACAACTTGTCAAATTGTATACATAATTGGAAAATGAAATTTCAAAAATTATAGTTTTCTTTATATTATGTTTGAGCGGGAAATTGAATACGTTCATTTACTTATATTATTAAATCAATTCATAAAAAAATCATAATTCATACACTATGATAATTTGTTTTTCTTTCTTTTTAATATAATAAAAAAATACATACATAGCAAAATTTGTAAAATTTATCACTCGAATAAACTAAGAATATCCAAAACCATATTAGTGAGCTAATTTCGAAGACAGGTAGTAATTTAAAAAAAAAGCTTATTAGCTGTATAACTTCACTGTCACTTGAATTGTTAATATTGTAAACCTACTTTTTTCCTTTGTTACTGCATTCGCCTGTCCCTTTCAAGCCATCCCTGAAAGCAAAGATTAGATATAAAATACTTTTCTTTCTGAGCTTAAACACCAAAAGTAATTAGGAAATAGGTAACATCCAATTATCAACAATCTTTGAATTGACGTACGTTTATTTCTGTGCTATTACAAGAATTATTCAAATATCTCAAAAAGATACCATATTCAGGTTGACGTTGGAATCAATTTTGCTTAGTACCAATACTCCCTCGAACAGTTAGAAATAAAAACAGAATAATAAGCCGTGCAATTTCTGTAAAAGACAATTTGCTTCGGCGATTAAAAGACATTAACAGTTCATACATACTCCAAAGTATTGAACAGCTGTAGACAGATGAAGAAGAGATTGTTAGCGAAAGATATGAAGACCACGCCGCTGATGACGTCATCCACTTTGCGGACTATCTGCGTTGCTCTGCAGTAATCCTCACGGGTCGACCTCCAGAAGATTTCTGGTAGATACTATTACATACATAATTTAAAAAGCATATAATTACGTATTTAATAGTTAGGCAGACCTACGTGTTTGTGTGACCGAATGTGTAAGCTCTAGGGCAAAAAGTGCAATTGCACTCTACCAACGTGAGAATGTGTAAAACTTCTTTGTGATACACGTTCAAGAATCTTAGAACCTGTCATTAAATTAATTATTTCATAAAACTTTAGAGTCTATGCTACAAATTGATCAGTCAAGGAATCCCTGACCCTCAACTATAGAAAAAATTTAGACACTTCAACACTGGTGAAGTGCAACTGAACTTTTCACCCTTACTGTATACTGTACTGTACTGTACTTAATGAATCCCTATATTTAAATTGATCACATCATATTATCAGCCTGCCCACTGCCGCACAAAGACCTCTTCTTACAGACGGACGGATAGGAGAAGGAATGAGCTATACACACAACGCTAGCTCAACTCGTTATATTTCAAACTTTGTGGTGGCCCGGAGGTTAAGGAGGCCCGCTTCTCATGCATGAGGGTGTGGTGCGAAACCTGGCAAGTACCAATGTGACATTTTCCAAATTATATGTACTTTCCATGATTATTTAGACACCACTGACATACGGTGAAGGTAAACATCGTGAGAAAACCTGGATTTATAATTTTTAATTATAAGTTTGAAATCGCCAACCCGCATTGAGGAAGCGTGGTGATTAATGCTCTAACCTTCTTCTCGTGAGAGAAGAGGCCTTTGCTAAGCAGTGGGCACTTATAGGCTGATGATGATGATGATGCTATTTTAAACTTCCTTAGGATGTTTTCCTTCACCGTTTGTCGGTAGAGTCTAAATAAATTTCGAAAGTATTTCGTATTTGTCAGGTGCCGAACATGTACCCTTGTGTATGCGTAGCGAGTGCTTAAACCTTTTGGGTACCACGGAATTTATGCATACAAATATTATAAAGAGTATAAGTATAAGTATTATAACATACATATTACGAAAGAAACTTAAAAAAAAACAAACAGCAACAGAGAGCTTTTCTGTTAAAAAGTTAACATACCAATACCTTTATATGTTATTTTATTATTTTATTTCCTTCTTCTAAGTGTTCTTAACCTTATCTTAGACTAGCTACTCTCGCGCGGTTTCACCCGCTGCTCGGCTCCATTTAATCGTAGCGTGATGTTTTATAGCCTATAGCACTCAGGAACATTGTAGCTATCTATCAGTCAAAAAATTTAGCAATCCGACCAGCGGTTCTAAAGATTACATACAAACTTACAAACTTACACATTTTACCTCTTAATAATATTAGTATAGATGTAACCTTCTCCTATGTGCTTCTGACAGCAACATTTTGATAGATAAAGTATGAGATGACGTTAAAAGTGACATTCTAAAATTTTATTTCCCCGTCACGTCGACGCTCACTTCGGACTCGAACAAGATTCGAAATCAAACAAATTATATAGAATCGACGTGTTGAACAGCTTGTTTAAATCGAGAGATGATCGTGAAAATACATGCATACTAGCATCTGCATATTTTTTAAAGCCAGTTCATAATTTCCAACAAATCTTAATAACCAAAAAGCCTTACTAGTTTTCCAACTTCGGTAACTTCCTAAATATTTGAAAAGCCATAGAACGCAAAATAAATATTTTCCAGTACTTAGTACTGTTTACTTAAGTCCAAATGATATTTGAAGTGCTAATGAGAAAAGTTAGTGTAAATTATATTTTGGTTTTAATAAAATAGGTCGCTATTTATTTTGTATTTATTTAATAGTCTTTAAGATGTTTGTAAATACATATTAAAATTAGTGAAAATTTTATTTAGAAGAAATATTTACAGTGGCCTAACTGTCAACGCAGATTTTGATAATATTTTATGACGTAGGTACCTATTCTGTAGTGTTAATCCTCTCCTTTAACACTCAAATATTTTTGTCCGGAGTCATGTCATCTAGATTTTTATTAGTCATGTATAATAAATAATATACCTAATGTCGACGCGTAAAAGAACTGTTTAGCGAAATAAATTAAATTTTTATTGTTTATTGTTAAGTTAATCTTTGTTGTATTTAAATGAAGTTTTTATTTGTTTATAATAAATAAAAAAAGTTGAAAGATCACGGACATTTTTAGAGCCCATGTTTCTTTACTATTTGAAGTAATTGTCTTTAAAAGTAATTGTCGAGTCATTTAGTTTTTATTTATTGACAGTATATGTAAAGTGATAGAAACAGGTCTTACTGACTTAGGTTTTAAGTCTGCGGAAAATACAATATACATTTATACAAAAGAGCAATGAGGCTTGAATACGAATTAAAATCAACTTCTATTTAGAAAGCATAAAGATAAAATTTAAATAATCAAAACATTTTTACTTATGACGTTTAGTTAGTCGGATTTTGTAGAAACCACGGCCGGCTGGGCCACTCACGTTGAACAAGAAAGTTCGTTAAGCCCTCGATAAGAGTATTAGAGTCCAACTGCAGTTATAATATACTTAGTGAGGACTCTAGAAATCTGTCGGTAGATTTAATATTTGTGGCGAAAAATGTATTTCGGTTTCAACGGCTTTTTTGTGAGCAAAATCGTTAAATGTTTGCGATCTGCCCGGCGTGGGTCGAGAGGAAGTGATAGAATCTAACTGACTATAAACCATTCCCGTTCCTACTTCTGCTCTAGGTCAGGGCCGAACATTTTTGCATTTGACAGGTAGCCCTAGGTGAACTCTGGACTTAATAGGCTCCATCTGCCGTGGTCTAAAAATAATTGAGGCGCGCGCGGAAGGTAATGCGCCGTTCGCTCGTGTCTGGTTCTGGTCGTGTGGCAAGATACTCTTGCTGAATTCCGCAGACCCACATTTACGCCTGACACCCAGAGAGGGCCTGCGGCGACAATTAAGTTAAGATTTTTAGTTTAAATTCATGACGTTTATAAAAAAATTGTATTGTTACATTATTAATATCTCCTGCACCGTGAGCTTGTGTAGTGTGTGTGACACCTCTGCCCATAAGTAGTGTAGGCTTTCTAATAATGTAACACTTAATTAAAGCCAATCGTCCAAGCTACACGTTTTTTTTTTATTGATTATAGGTTCGCGCTTGACCGCTATCTCACCTGATGGAAAGCGACGATGCGGTCGACGATGGAGCGCGCTTACCTAGAAGTAACCTATTCACTCTTGAGAGAGTCTCTTATTTGCTCCTACATTGCACTAGTTTAATGTTACTAGCTACCATGAATCGATAGAAAGAGATAACTTTGCTGACTGTCCTACCTTTCCTTGAGCAGCCAACAACTTCTTATTGACCTGCTCTAATCTCGAAGTCAAGTAGTAACTCATGCAGATAACGAACAAATCGGAGAAGTTCCAAATGAATGTTGATTGGAAGTGGAGAAACTGAAACCAAAGCAAAATGAACCGTCACTGACAGAAAATAAAGATTTAATTTACTCAACAAAATTGTAAATTAAAAGGCATTGAAAACTGAATCGAACAACGTAGAGTTAAGGTTGAATTTACCTGGGTAATAATACCTAATACTGGGGAATACGGTAGATAGCTGAATACCCATGGGTAGAAATGTGTGACGAATCCTTCGTAGGTGTCCATACCACTGTAGCAGGCAGCGGCTCCAGCGAATGCTGATAGCAAAGACAAGATGTGTTCCACTGAAAAGAAAAAAAGTTAATTATGTATCAAAAATCAGTTACACAATTAAATAATTGGAACGAAATAGAAATTGGGAAGTAATAAAAAAAAGTTTACATTTTCATCCATTTTAAAACGCTAAAATCCGAAAATAATACGAGTATACAGATATGAATGAGGCTTTTTAGTTGTTATTTAAGTAGAACGTCGTTTATACATATAAGGATTCGTTTGTTTTGGAAATTATGACGAATAAAACGGGCAGATAGCTAAGACTTGTTTCTAAACCCAATAAAGGGACAATTAAAGATATTCCATCCGAAGTAAAAGGAAATGAAGCCGTGTCCGCGGTAAGTCTAATGTAAAAACAACCTTAGTTTAGTAATATAAACGCTACTTACACAAAGCCAATAAAAGAACAACAGCACAAGTAATATTGCACTTTCTAGCTAAACTGCAGTCAAAGTTGGGATCCATATCCTCAGCCTTAGCAATATGCTGCACCAGCTGCGGCCAGCGACGGGCCACGTGGAAGAACATTATCATCGTCACGCAGGTTGTCACGTAAAATATTACTGGAGCTGCAACAAAACGTTAATTTTGATCCAAAACTTTAGTTTGGAACATTTAAGTAACAATTTAGTGTGGGAGAGCCAAGCTTCGGCTCGAATGGACCGGCTCAACTGGAGTGATATTCACGGCCTCACAGAAATCACTCCCTTACCTCTACCCATTCTCAATCCTCAAATCCCCGTTCCATAAATTCCTAATACAAGCAGCTTTCAACTTACTTACAGTAATTTCCTTGACATGACGAGTGTCCTAGGCAGCGCTCATTGCTTATCCGTTCGTTCTTTGCCGACCTATGCCATAAAATTATACTTAAAATGTTACTTACAAGTTCCATTTAGAGTGACGTTAGACCTAGCCAGCTTGTTAATACAGAGTACTGCCATAAATATCTGTCCAATAAGAGATATCAGGGAGTAGACACATTTCCATGACGTTTTAATGAACCTGGGAAAGTTAAAATGATAATAATAATTATTGGTGTTTAACAGTCTAAAAAAACGGAATTAAGGGACATAATATATAACAATATCATATACACTGTGGCTCAACGCATTAATGTATATTGTAAGCAAAAGTCTAACACTTCTCATGTCACCCAGGCCGAGAGAAGGAATTTGAAGATAACCTCAAAATGAAAAAAGCATTTTGCAAGGAGTTAATGATACTTTTGATGTTTATAATGAATTCAACTTACTTGACATTGCTAGCAACATTACTGAACACACCAACGAAGGGAAGCAACGAAAACACTTGACCGACTATAAGCGTACATCTTAAAGCGTCAAAAAACGGTGTAATGCTTCTAGGGGACTTCTGCTTTGCAATATCGACCTTATTCTCTGAAAGAAAAACAGTTGAATTTAGAGCAACAGGAACCAAATATTAAAACTCAAGAAAAAGAGAACAGGAACATGAACTCCTGTTCTATAATGGTGACTAAATTCTTGCAGTAATTTGTCTCAAAATTTCCTTTTTGTGTCCAAGAAGCGCTTTTTTGTCCAAATTTCGTTCACATAAGTCACAGACTTCATGGTATGACTCAAGAATGTATTTATCTAGGATGATATTCATTGCTAATAATAGGTACCTATAGTACCTATCATCATAATACATCATCCAAATAACATCCTTCGGCATATCTTTCTTTCAGAAAGACTGCACATATAATTGGATGCCACAAGGCAAAAACTGTGCTATTACAGCTACATCACATTAACTAAATATCTATCCATTTTAACGACATAACAGATACATACGTACGAAAAAAACACGTGGCATTGCTGCAGAAGTGTTAAAACTGACTCTAATAATTGTTCTATCGAGTTAAACTAAATGAGGGATACTTGGATGACCTGTTTTGTACTAAATACAAGTCCTTTTACAACTATTCAACTCCCACATGTTCACAGATTTTCCAAAAGCTTTAGACCAGTGTTGTTTCGCCATAATTCAAGTGGTTAAAGGTCAAAGTGACGTATGTTGTTGAAATAACACAAGCACTTGACGTTTGACCTTGGGACTTGCTGTTGCAAGTAGGAACATGTCGTTTGTATAGGGCGGGTTGTGATACAGCGCAGGTTATTGTTGAGTAGGTCAGTTATATTTATGTATATCAGAATTTATTTTGCATAATGGGAATAAATTTTTCTTCTCTTTTTTCATTTTCAATATTGTTATATACGTTGTTTAGTGAGCATTTGTTTGTTTCCTGTGCAGTAACAGGGTTTTTTTTAATTTACGAGTATATTCAAAGCCAGTGGACCTTTCTAAACATGCATATTCATTGAATTTTTAGGATATAGTTTAGGTAGGTTTTGGAATTGCATGAAAAGTTTTGAAACACTTTCAAAATCAGTTTCGGTACATTATTTCGCTTGCCCCGTAACTCCAACTGAAGATGAGTTCTGTTGGGCCCCATTTCGTGGTGGTCTATAGGCTTTTTGAGGTGTTGACGTGCGCGTGGAACATTACCGTTTACTGTTCCGCATCCGCAATTAGGCAATTCCAAGAGTAGTTCACTCTTGGAATTGCCTAAATCATAAAGCCACAAAATTAGGTACCTGTTTTCTTCTTTTACAAGATATATCTTCTTTTAAAGATAAAGGAAGCGGGGAAGATAGTTGTTGACATGGTATTCTGTGAGGTGGTAATATCAGTTATCACCCTGGACGAGCCGACCTAATTATAACAACGATTTTTCCACACTCCTGTTTTTATTACCCTTCTGCGATGTCTTTAGTCTATGGCCTAGCGTGGTGCACGAAAATATGAGTAGTTATCGGTAACAGTCGGTCAGTTATTGTTTATTAACTCGTTGTTTTAACCTCATCGTTTTGTTGATACAAAGATGTCGTGTCTCGATAAATAATTTATTTATACATTCATTCGTAGTAGACGTTTAACAAATGACTTTTTAATGTCTCTGTTTTGTATTGGTTGATCCTATTTCTGATAGCTGGAGGTTTGATTACTAAGTTACGGGTAAATCTAGAAATGGAATTTAAAATTTATTTATTAATAATGCGATTTTTTCATAAATTTGATTATTATTAATGCGATTTTTTTCTAAATAACTCTTGTTACAATCGTTGTGAACGCGAAAAGGAAATATATTGGACTGCATGCATAGATGATATCTCATTATATGCCTTTTGAAAAAAAATCTGTACAATTTCCTATTGCATAAACTGGTGCAAAAGTAATGAAAATGATATAAAAATTCTATTCTGCTTAAATTAAAATTTTTGAACGATTTCTTCATTTTTTGGAAATAACTTTCTTAAGTATTGTGTTTGCATAATGTTCTTGTACTTTTACAGTGCATTACTCTGTCTTTTGTTTTTTAGTGTGTGAAATAAATGTTATTGTCTTTGAAATTCGTAGGAGGAAAAGTGGAAGAAAAAAAAATCTCTGAAAAAATATTTAAAGATATGCATAGGTTTTCTAATTTATTGAAAATTTGTATTACTATGACATTTTAACAATGCCTATGTCTACGAAGTCTGATATGGCACATCTCTATCGTGCGGCGAGGCCGCGAGAGTTTTGAGGCTGCCAGAGCATGTTTCTTCCAGAATTAGGTAAAATAAAAAGAAATTACCATACTATCCGATGTTAAAGTTATCTTACATTACATATTATCAACATATAAGTGCCCACTGCTGAGCAAGGTCCTCTTCTGACTCGATGATGGTAAACATTAATCATCACGCTTGCTCCAGACGGATTGCCGATTTCAAACTTATAATTACAAATTATAAGTCTAGGTTTCCTTACGACATTTTCCTTCACTGTATGCATATATTGTCTCAATGAACTTAGAAAGTACAAACTCAAAAAGACTCGAAAAAAGTCACAGTGGTACTTGCCAGATTTCGAAACCCACAACGTGCAAGAAAAATGAGCGCCTTAACCTTTGCCGAGCGTACGGCGCGTAGCGTTCCGCGCGCGCCTTAAAGAGCCAATAGACCAACGCATATGGGGCCCTATGGGGCCTCGGCCCAGAGCAGGAGAGGGAACAGGGGGGATTTAGTCAGTAAGAGTCTGACACTCCTTCCCGCCCGGCCCTAGGCAGGAGAAGTCATTTGATGATTTTCTCCTCAAAAAATAAAAAAAAAACCTTCGTGCCACCAAGAAGTTTTTACATAAACAACATATTACATAAACACACACAACTAAATCCTTTTAAATCTATAAAAAAAAGACATGTTTACTTACTTTTAACAGGTATCCAAAATGACATGTTTCGTCTAAAACTCGTTCGTCCCATTTTAGTTTTAGTGTTGGGACTAGTCCCGTGTTTCTGAATGCCCGTATTAACTGCTATCATTGTACTGGCCACTAATGGACTGAGTTGTTTACGAACCTCGCGACAACGTTTTGGGGGTCCGCGACGGAATCCGATCGTGTTTCCCATCCTTATTTTTTGAAGATAGTTTTTTTTTGTAATGATTTTTCTGTTATGTCTGTTTTTTCGTTGTTCAACTTTCTATTGCTAATTTATGTCCTAAAGATGCTGTTTTTAATGAAGAAATTTTAGTTATTATAGATTTATTTTCGACTAGGTTTTCTGCATTTTCGTGGTATTTTGTACTTTTTTTTTATTTAATAGGTCGGCAAACGAGCAAACGGATTACCTGGTGGTAAGCAATCAGCGCCGCCCATGGACACTCGCAACGGAGGCGTTGCCGACCTTTTAGGGGTTAGGGATTTGGCGATTTAGGGATTTAGGAGGGATTGGGGGAGGGAAAGGATTGTATATACAAATTGACTTAACTTGAACTGTATTTTTCATGGGTTTTGAACTTGTGATTTACTCATTTATTAGTTAAAAATCGATAAAACTATTTTATTCGATTAAAGACTATTTCGAAATGATGCTTACTGAATAAACCTTAATTTATTCCGTTTAAGTTTTAGTCAAATCGGTTCAGTAGTTTTTGTGATTTTTCAATTTACAGTTCTACATAAAATAATGCGGCGTAAACGCTTATACAGCTGCATACGGAACCATCACCAACAAATAATAAAGGTACTACAAAAAGGTTTACTAATCAGATTGCGTAGTTATTCGTTATTCGAGTTAACAATAGATTATTTTAACTATTACTAACTAACAGTTATTTAGTTAACAAATACCTCTATAGTTAAACAGACCTATCGTGAAAGTATTTGAGATATCATTGAAACAACGGAGATAATATTATGAAAAATATTGTTAGTAGATATTTCAAACAGAATGTTATATTGATTATAATTTGTATGTTTGTAATATGATATTGCATTTTAGGGGTTCCATGGCGTAATGGCAAAAATACGGAATACATGCATCTTGTCTGTCATTTCTTCAGCATTTCCCAGACATATTATTGGGAAACTATAAGAGTCATCTATTTGACAATTGGTAAGTAAATATTATATATTCTGTAAAACATTACAATATTCATGGAAAAAATAAAAATTCATTAAGCCGTTCGCCATTCTTGGAATTAAGACTGAAATATAATTTCACGAAATATGTACGTGTCAGGTATTTATTTATAGAAATTTAATATTATCAAAATTGTATCATAGTTAATTTTCTATGTGTTAAATAAATAAGTCAATATGATATTGAAATATTCAGGTTTCTTATACCATTTTATTGCGACGGAACCACTCATGGGACATTCCGTTATACACTTGGTTATTATTATTATTTTTTATTATTATTATTGCTTAGAAGGTACATTTGTTTATATCCTGATGTCTCTCAGAAAAACTTCTTTAAATCTCTTATTATTCTTCTTCGTCTTATGTCATTTTAATGGCATAATTATCCACTATTTCAATCTCCGTGTAATTATATAGAATTATCAAAATAAAAATCATATTGTTCAATCAGGAAACTGAATCCGCGATTTTCTTCTAAAGATAAGAGTTATTTACAGCATGGTCGACGTATCTTGGCGAGTCTGAAGTTAGCCGTTTGTCTGCGCAATGGATGTTTTAGGAACAAAATTGTGTACTGCGCAGCTAATCGGCTTAACTTCAGACTCGCCAAGATACGTCTGCGATATTGTACTTGTTTATTAGGGTAGTGGAGCTATTAATTAGAGTAAAATCGGCTCGTTTTCGCCAGCGGTTTCGTTAGCAATTCTAGGGTGAAAAGTAGCCTGCATGTGTTGTGCCTGACTATAATCTGTTCCAAATTTAAAAAGTATAAACCAGACTATTTTATTGTTATTCCGAATGTTCGGCATCTATCTCTTTGCCAAATTACCCAAAGACATATTATTCCACGTATATAGTACATACTTTCGCGTTTATAATAACATTCATCATCATCATCATCAACCTATAAGTGCCCACTGCTGAGCAAAGGCCTCTTCTCATACGGAGAAGGTTTGAACATTAATCACCACGCTTGCTCAATGCGGGTTGGCGATTTCAAACTTATAATTAGAAATTATAAGTCTAGGTATCCTCACGATGTTTACCTTCACCGTATGTCAGTGGTGTCGAAATAATTGTAGTAACATTAGTATAACTTAAAAAACAAAGCCTTCTAGTTTTGGAAGTACTTTAATTAATGAGTTTAGTGGGAAACCGACAAAATGATCGAAAGATATAAAGTTTCCTTTGATTTGTGACTTTCAAATTTAGTACATTGATTGGATTCTAAATTCCAAGATGGCCGGTTGATTTGAAGATAAGAACTTTTGCCCAACGAATTAATTATTGGGTTTCGAAGTGAGAAGGTGCTACTTACTAATCTTGAGAGTCAATTTTAAATTGCTTTTCGGTTTTATCGGTATTAAGGAGGTTTTTTTTTTTTTTTTTTTGTGAGGGGGAAATCATCAAATGACTTCTCCCGCCCAGGGCCGGGCAGGAGGGAGTGTCAGACTCTTACTGACTAAAAACCCCCCTGTTCCTTCTCCTGCTCTGTGCCGAGGTCGCGGTACCTCATTGCGCTTACCCCGCAACCCCGGCTGAACATCAGCCCTTTAGGGCCCCGTCTGTGGTGGTCTATTGGCTCTTTGAGGCGCGCGCGGAACGCTACGCGCCGTACGCTCGGGCCTGGTTCTGGTCGGGCGGCGAGCTGCCCTTACTCGCCGACCGCAGGCCCGTACTTACGGTGGCCGGAGATCGTCCCTCGATCCCCGACGCCCGTAGTGTCGCCAGTTGCGGCTGGTGGGGCGTGAGGAGGAGGATTGCTCCCTCACGCGGGCCGCCTCTCTCTTTGCGAGCATGACTGCTTCACAAAAGGAGGAGACGGCGTCCCAGTTCCTCTCACTCCGCACCATGGCCTCGACTAAGGCCGGGCGCGAGAGGTCGCCGCCGCCGATCACTTCCCTGAGGATACGGCGGTGCTCAGCCCAGGCAGGGCATACCGCTACCGTATGCTCCACCGTATCCTCTAGGTGGTCCTCACAATGACGACACTCGGGCGTTTCCTCCCGCTGAATCCGAAACAGGAACCTACCAAAGCTGCCGTGCCCGGTAAGCACCTGCGTCAGGCGGAAGGTGAGGACGCCGTGGCGTCTCTCAAGCCACTCCTCAAAGAGGGGTCTTACCGCTGCTATAGTAGCGTGCCCGGCCCTCGGTTGCGACAGTCGCTGCTTCCACTCAGCCATGAGATCTCGCCGGAGCTCATTCCGCCACTCACTAATTTGGCGCGGCAGAGGATCCTCGCCCCGGCGATGCGCGTCTGCGCGCAAACTGTAGACGCGCGCGAGCGCCTTCGCTTCCAGATCCCATGGCGGTGATCCGGCAAGGAGGTTCGCCGCCTCCCCGGAGATCGTGCGATATCCGCGGATTATTCGGATAGCCATGACCCTCTGGGACGCGACCAGCGTACGAGCCGGCCGCCGCTTCAAGTCCGGCGCCCACACAGGGGCACCGTAGAGGGCCATGGATCGCACAATCCCCATATACAACCTCCGGCAGGAGGCGTTTGGCCCCCCGAGGTTGGGAAGGAGCCGCTTGATCGCGGCCCCAGACCGTTCCAACTTAGGGGCCAAACGACAAAAATGCTCCGTGAAGTTCCATCGGCTGTCGAGGACGAGACCCAGGTATTTCATCGCCGACTCGACGCCGATGGTAACTCCTCCCGCCGTTACTTGGGACCCACCTGGAGGTGGCGCGCTCCGACGGCCATAGAAGCACATGGCCTCGGACTTGTGGAGCGCCACCTCGAGTCCCAACTGCCGGATCCTTGCAACGACTGTCGCAACCGCTTGTGACATCAGGTCGGCCGCCGCCTGATGCGACCTCCCGTTCGCCAGCACCAGCGGTATTAAGGAGGTTAGTAAATTGATATTAAACTCATTACTTATTAAATTATTGCTTTAGTCTGTTCTAATCTATACTTAATTATAAAGAGGTAAAATTTGTAAGTTTGTATGTTTGTAAGTTTGTATGTAGGGGGTAATCTTTAAAACCGCTGGTCGGATTGCCAAAATTCTTTCACTGATAGATAGCTACAATGTTCCTAAATGTGCTATCAGCTATAAAACATCACGCTACGATTAAATGATGCTATTATTTTAGGCTGGCACAAAACGTTTTTTACTTGTCTCGAGCTGAGCTTTGTATCGAGCCTGATGCATGGCAATAGTACAATTGTTGATCATAAAATGTTTCCATTTCTGTACAATAATATTGACGATGTTTTTCGGCAAATATCTAGTAAGTATGTCGTTCAGGGCCTAACACGTCGTTTCTTAAATAATCTCGAATATAGCCAAAATATGCTTCTTCAACCAAAAAGACATAAATTATGCATTATGTATATAGCATAATAATATGCATATGCATATAATCTAGGCTCTACTTATGAGGCGAGATATAACTAGTAAATAGTACGTTATATTTTATGTATTGTGGAAACTACGATTGACGTTTTGGCCCGGAGCTTAAGATGCCCACTTCTCATGCAGGTAAACCAGTCAAGAAGTACCAAATGTGGATTTAGTTATATGTACTTTCTATGATTATATTGACACTACTCACATGGGGTAAAGTTGACGGAAAACATCGTGAGGAAACCTGGATTTATAATTATAATTATTAGTTTAATCGCCAATCTGCCTTAAGCAAGCGTGGTTATTAACCTCAGCTCAAACGTTCTTCGTGTGAAATGAGGCCGTTGCTCAGTAGTGGAAACTAAAAGGCTGATGATAATGATGTTTTTTTTTTATGTGGAAACTACGCCCTTATGCTTTTATCATAAATACACACAATATAATTTTTATATCACTTTCGATTCAAAGTATTTTGTTCGTGTTTGTTTCGTTCGCTTCCTACAATTTATAAACGGACACCTTGGCCAGCCAATGATTATTTATTGGATCAATTGTAGTCCAATATATATTTAATTTGATATCGAATACAAAGTAAGTTTGGGAAACTAGTCGATAATTTACGGAATTAGTATGTTTTAGAAGATAGATGGGGGTGTTTTAAAAACTTTTAGTGTTCCGAGGAGGCGTGGCTTGGACCATAAAACAAAGTGACTAATATTGTTTACTTAACATTGTTTGTTTGAGTAGCTAAATTAGGCTAACATTGCTGAATAGAGTAAATATTCAAAACGTTTGGAGTTTTATTCTTAAAGATTCTTGGGTGTATTTAAACGGTACCTTTTTCTTACTTCGCAAAGAAATAGCGGTTGTTAAGAAATAGCTTGTTGTTGGAGTCGTCAGAATTTCATACCTACTTTTTGCGGGATCGCGAGATTTTTTTTGTAATACTTTTGCTTTTGTGCTCATTGTAATTTATAATATTTAATTCACATTTATTCACAATAATCATTACCTACAGTTTTCCCTCATCGGTCTGCCTCACCTCACCTTTAGTATTCGGAGCAAACCATGTGTGTAAGAATGTGTCCAGTCTCCAAGTTGTTATTCAATCAACAAAATGAAATAAATTTTGCGTCTTCATACGTTCCCATTGCCTTGTGCGCATAAATTTACGATATCTGTTTAATATATATGTTCATAGAACCTAACTATAGAACCTTATCATTTTTTGTCCGAGGAAATTGATGTGTTTACAGCGCCACCTAGTACACAACTTTAAGATAGTTTGAAGAATACAGTGATAGATGGTGTTGTTGCTATATTTTTAAAAATAAAAGTTATTTATAACCCGTTATATACATTTTTAGAACCTAATCGATATTTGAACCTAGACTAAAAATGCAGAGTGCGTTTTAGATTGAAATCATACCTTGGTGCAGGGAATATTCCCATTATTTATCGATTTCGACAACATAACAATGTTTTAACATTCTACAAAATAATAAATAGTGAAATAAAAGCCACTGATAGTAGGTACATGAAGTTTTATAAGAGTAAAGTATTTTCACATCATGACTGATAACTATCATGTTCGGGTGTGGATCTGTGATTACAAAACTATGAAAACATTACGTTTTATTGGTGGCTGACAATTCAAAATCTTTAATACCATAATCTTTATTAAATATTAAATAAAGGAAAAAAGTGCTGGTGGTGGTCTAAAACCGCTAAAAATTCTGGTCTGAATAGACGTGAAGGATCTTTTTCAAATATATTTTGGTAAATGTCAAAAAGTTGTTTTCCATTGAAACTACTGTTCGCCGAAAACCACCATATTCGTTGGTTGATCTGGAAATAAAAAGTTTACGTTTCGACTCTTATTCGATGGATTAATTTTTAAAACAATACATTCGGAAAATGGAATACTGTCATCATTTTTTGAAATAAAAATAGTTTAAATCGCATAAATTATTACATATTTTATTGCAGTATAGAGAGTAAATTGCAGAGTATTTTAGAGAAATAAGAATCTTGTGTCTACAAACGTTGTAAACAAGAAAAAATATCAGTGCTGATAGGAGGATGTGTAAAGCCAGAGCGAGAAGAAGCTAGTTTGTAGACAGAAAATATTATAACGTGATGAGGCCAATGACAAAGAAGATGGTTAGATAATTTGCGTCAAACAAGAGACGGACAAAATGGGAGAGAGAGATAGACAAACTATTAAGTATTGCATTTTAACCAGAAATAAAAGTGCAATCGTTACTCTTTCAGCTAAGGTATTCTATTGTTTTTGAATAATATTAGCTAAAATACCCATTCCTTCTTCACTGCCGAGAGAGAGCCAATTCAATTCGTTGTGCAGTTTATCCAAGTTGTTTTCTTTGTTGTCGAGCTTAGATTCTCTGAGTTGGGATTCAGATAACTAGAATGAGGAGATATACTTAATATTATAAAGAGGTAAAATTTGTAAGTTTGTATGTTTGTAAGTTTGTATGTAGGGGGTAATCTTTAATACCGCTGGTCGGATTGCCAAAATTCTTTCACTGATAGATAGCTATAATGTTCCTAAATGTGCTATCAGCTATAAAACATCACGCTACGATTAAATGGAGCCGAGTAGCGGGTGAAACCGCGCGAGAGTAGCTTGTGTATTTATATAATGCTATTATTTTAGGCTGGCACAAAACGTTTTTTACTTGTCATGAGCTGAGCTTTGTATCGAGCCTGATGCATGGCAATAGTACAATTGTTGATCATAAAATGTTTCCATTTCTGTACAATAATATTGACGATGTTTTTCGGCAAAATATCTAGTAAGTATGTCGTTCAGGGCCTAACACGTCGTTTCTTAAATAATCTCGAATATAGCCAAAATAGGCTTCTTCAACCAAAAATACATAAATTATGCATTATGTATATAGCATAATAATATGCACCTGCATATAATCTTGGCTCTACTTATGAGGCGAGACATAACTAGTAAATAGTACGTTATATTTTATGTATTGTGGAAACTACGATTGTCGTGGGGCCCGAAGCTTATGACGCCCACATCTCATGTGGATTTAGTTATATGTACTTTCTATGATTATATTGAAACTACTCACATGGGGTAAAGTTGACGGAAAACATCGTGAGGAAACCTGGATTTATAATTATAATTATAAGTTTAATCGCCAATCTGCCTTAAGCAAGCGTGGTTATTAACCTCAGCTCAAACCTTCTCCTTGTGAAATGAGGCCGTTGCTCAGCAGTAGGCATTTATAGGCT